GACAGGTTGGATTTTGATCAAGACTTTGAAAAATCTAATTACTTCAAAATAGGTTTTATTTTGGGACGTCTGAGGACAAAGGTTTAAACCTAAGATTTTTGTAGCATATTTTACATGTGTTGGCCCAGTAGAAAAGGACTCATGCCAGGTGTTTTCCTGAGCCATTCACATTCATCACCATAAAATATAGCCTCGCTAGCACAGATGGAAAGGATGGCTCAGCTTTTCACAAAATTTTAAGGACATCCTGTGCATTTTGTACTGAGTATTATAGGATCTTAATCTGTTCAGATGGGTACAACTGTTTTACAAAAACTTTACAAAAATAAATAGAAGACCACCACCTGGGGAGCTGCCACAGTCTTCTCACCCCTCTGATTAAGAAAAGAAAGAAATAGAACTGCTTCATTAAAAAGGGTGCAGTCTTCATCTTAGCCATTTTAAATATTGATGACGATATGTTTTTCAAGTACTCTAACCACCCCCAGATGAGGCACCCTGCGACATTGTGAATTTAGATAAATTTGTGAGATAAATTTGGTCACAGTGTGATTGGTGATTGGCCAACCCTAACCAGATCTCTCAATTCATTAACCTAGCAAATTGTTATCCCCACAATTTATGCATCTGGAGTTTTTGGACCTCTCTTAGGGTGAATGATGGATTTTTACCGTGTTGTGAAACTGTTTCAAAACCAATCAGTAAATCTTAGGACCCTACATAGTCCCCATGTTCCTTCAAGTATCCTTGGAAAGGAAGAAACTATCGTAGGCAGTGTTAGGTCTACAGACATTATGATTCAGAAGAAAGAATGGTAATGATAGTCCTGTGAAACTGAACTCAATTTTCTGTGATGACCTTGCTTCCATAGATGGGGGAAGGGATGAAGAGGACTGGCAAGATTAGGAGCGGGTGTGAGAACCTTCATTTTTCTAAGTAAAGATAATTTTCTTCTCAAAAATTTGTCTCTTCCAGATTCACTCATCTTGTTGGGGATAATGGTCAGTGTTTCATCACTTCCCTCCCCTTCTTCCTTCGCTTTTAACCGTAAGGCATGTGGGCAACATAATTTTTTTTTAAAGGTTTATTTATTTGAGAGAGAGAGACTGGGAGAGCATAGTGGGAGAAGGAGAGGGAGAAGCAGACTCCTCACTGAGCAGGGAGCCCAATGTGGGGCTCGATCCCAGGACCCTGAGATCATGACCGGAGCTGAAGTTAGACGCTTAACCCATTGAGCCACCCAGGTGCCCCAACAGAATACTTTTGAAACCTTGTGACTCAGAGGGATAGTTATCTGGTCCACATGCTGACCTGGGCTCTGGGTGTTTCATTCTCTTTGGTCTTTATGATATTCTAAAGCAATGGGTTCTTATCCGTAGTTGGGACGAGTCAGCAGCTATGGCTACTGATGTCTGTCTGGGGTCCCTGTCATAGCCTCTGGTAGTGACATCTACGTGCCTCATCCCCACCTGAAGAACCCACAAGTCTGTATACTCTTTACAGTTTTACTAGTTCTCCCTGGGGTCAGGGGGGGGGCTTTTGGATCTTTCCTTGTTTTGCATAAAGCCTAGGGTACCGGGAGAAAATGCTTACTTGAGACCTCTCCTGACCTAAACGCTGATAACTGCTGTTTCATCCTGTATCAGTCAACACAGAGCACTTCGGTGCCAGTTGGGAAGAGAAGGGTAAATCCTGCTTGCACTCAGATCTCTCCACCTCTCCTTCCTGCCATCCCCTCCCAGCCCCTAGTCAGAGTTTGCACCTCGGAAGAGGGGAGAGGACAGAACAGTATCAAAGGCATCACACCCACTTCCTTTGTGTCTCCTCTCCTCGTTCTCCAAGCTACCACCTCCAATGCAGCAAGAAATTGCCTCAAAAAAGATCATAGTGTACATCCTTTCTCCCCCATACCTTGTAGCAAATCTCTATGCTGTATGATTCTAGACCTTTAAAGGAAAGCTTTAGGAATTTAGAAAATCCCTTTCTTTCTCAGTTGCAAGGCTGTTGTTACAGGAAGCCCTGTGCTCTCATGACTTTCTGTACCTAATTTTTGGAAGTTTTTTCTGAGACCTAAAGATGAACACTTTCTTCCTTGCTCTTGGCTGGTTCAGCTGATGCTCTAAAGTCATGGTTGCTTTATCCTTGTTGGGTAAAGGGTTGGAGAATAACGATTATCATAAGTAAAGATTCTTTCAGGCGATATTTCACAGTATTATCCTATTATGAAATCATGAACAACTTGCAGTTATTCCCAAGAATAATTATATTCTTTCAGGGATGAGCATGATAGACAAGTTCTAGGAAATGAAGTAGTATTCAGTGACAGAGTGAAATCATGCTACCAAACAAGCTTAAAGGCTGTAGACTTTCTGCATTTTAATTCACATGGGCCTAAAGGAGGGGCCTAGGAGATAGTTTGGGTTGATGTGTGGGCGGGCATCACATAACAAGTCATGATGTTAAATTTATATGTTGGCCAAGTTAGTTGACTGATGTTACCCCTACTCCCTCAAGACCTCTCCCTGGGATGCAAACATCTAGATTTAGTGACAGACAGCGAAGAGCAGTAGGATTGAGTTACTCACCAGGAAGAACTCTGATTAGTGAGCTTCAAGGAAGGACTAATTTCCAGGCAACCATCTATGCCATCACGAGAACCTTCCCCTTTGTGATCCATGTCAAGGTGAAGGTGAAAAGAGAAATTTACTTTGGAAGAGCAAAAAACAACCTTAATCTCCCCTTTAAGAAGCTAAGCGCTTCTAAGCAGTAACTTGACTTGTTTTAGAAGGATTAAGAATGTACTTCTGTTGTCGGTGTTCTCTGATTGCTTCAAAGGGGAAGATTGCATCTTTATAATAAGATTGAGAGTCTTTAAGGGGAGTGGCCATGCGATACGTATGCTGTGTGCCTCTGAGAATGTCTAAACCAATGTTAGCTCCGTTCTAAGTAGATTGGTATGTGTACTCGATTAGATTGATATTCCGTAACTTCATGGTGAATACAGAGGCACTGTTTAAATCGTTTTGCACGATACATAGATTTTAGGATTTCTCTTGAACTTTGCAAATGGATGGTCATTAGATAAGGGAAACGGAGGTTCTATTCGGTGGGAAGACTAGCGGGGGTGAATACAGTGCATTAGGAGAGGGTGAGCACATCCCCTTGACTAAAGTAAAATGGAATAGAAGTAGAGGCCAAATGTTGGCATGCTGACAAGCTGGCAACAGACGTAGTGGAACGACATGACGGAAGCAGGCTAGGTGTATATTTTCTGTGTTTCCACCCACATGAAAGATGAATCGGGGCCTAATGATACAAAAGAAACCAGATGCTTTCTGGCTTTAGTACCAGCTCTCTTCAAATCATTCAAGAAGACTCCAGGGTATGTCATGAGTAATTCTAATTGGTTTTCTTTTCTGCCTATCCTGCCTTCTTTGCAGTTCCCTGTGATGAACCCTAACAATGGCTGCATGTATCCTGCATTGCTGCCACAATATCACTTGTCATTTCTGATGAAGATGATGTGGCTTGGCACCCGGATCACAGTCTTGTCTCCTGATTCTGATGTGCCTGTGATGTCCCTTACGCTTAGTTCCTCCCATTTCCTTTGCTAACGTGGGACAATCCCACCATATATTATGCTCTGTCCGTGAATCAGCAAGCTATCTCTTCTCAGGGCCCTACCAGAAACTATTATCACAGCCTATTGCCCCTTGACTCCAACCATAAGTTGTAGAGGGAGAGGAGAAAGCTAAAAAGGCACCTGGATATGGGGCTCCTGGATGGCTTAGTTGGTTAAGCGTCTGACTCTTGATCTAGCTCAGGTCTTGATCTCAGGGTCGTGAGTTCAAGCCCTGTGTTGGGCTCCATGCTGGCCATGGAGCCTACTTAAAAAAAAAAAAAAGCACACTAATCTGCTATATTAGCTCTCTGCTGCTGCATAAGAAATTATCCCCAAACTTAACAGCTCAGAATAAGCGTTTATTATTTCATGGTTTCTGTTAATCAGGAATCAAGACATGACATAGCTGGGTCCTTTAGCCCAGGGTTCCTCATCAGGTTCATCACCTGCGATACAGGTGCCAGCAAGGGCTGTGGTCTCATCTCAAGGCTCATCTGGGGAAGGTTCCACTTCCAAGCTCACTCACATAGCTATTGATAGGGCTCTGGTCCCTCGCTGAGACACCAACTCCTTAACACATTTGCTGGTCATAGGGCAGCTCACAACTTGGCAGCTGGCTTCTCTCAGAGCATGTGAGGGACAGAGTGAGCGAGAACCAGCCAGATGAGTCCTAGTTTTTGTGTCAGTGAATCTCTGAAGCAGTGTCTCATCATTTGGCCATATTCTATTTGTTAGAAGCAAGTCAGCTGGTCTAGCCCACGTACAAGGGGAGAGAATTATACAAGAGCATGAATACCAGGGGCCATTTTAGCAGCTGCCTACCACAGTTGTGGAGAAATTCTCTACTTTCCTGGTGACCGTACCCTTTTAAAATCTTGAGTTCCTCATGCAGCTATCAGGCAGACTTGGACAAATGTGGATTCGGATAGGCTCTCACTCTCTGACTCCTGCTTTGCAGTTTCTCCAGAAGAGGAACCTGGCAGCAATATACAAGATGGATTAAAAGACCCATGTTGGGGAAGTAAACCAGGAGACTGTTGTAATAATATTGATGAAAAGTGGTAGGAAGTCCAAACCAGGATGGTGGTAGGGAGCTAACAGGGAGGATGTAGATGCAAAAGAGGCAGAAAAGTAAGAATCAAAAATACTTGCTTCCAAACTTTCTTCCACAGAAAATAGAAAGAAAGGAACAATGACAACTTGGATTCCCAGGTGGTTTCTGGGTACTGCTGGCATTTATGAAAAATGGGAAAATTTGGCAAGAAGTCAGGTTTGAGGGAACACGGTTAAACTTGATATGCTAAATTTGAGGTGGTCTTTGTTTTTGTTTTGACTGAACTGAGTACCTTTACTGGGGAAAGCCAGGATTAGAACGGACTTAAGAGTTGGCATCGGGGCCCTTCTTCTGGCCAAAGGTGGACACAACATTGATGAAGCACCTTTTGTACTGCATCCGCCACTTGGCTCAGTCTGTGTTCTTCTTTTTCTTCAGTCTGCCACCTTGGGAGTGTGCCCTCTTACTTTGTCAGCACGGGCCAGAAAACCATGGACTTTACCCCAAGCATGCAGCCCGCTACTCCCAGGGTGGTGAGCCTCCTCTCCCCTCCGACCTGGGGTCGCCTCATCCTCTAGGGGCGGGCCTGCCAGGAGCACCACTTGATCTTCTGGAGCATTGTCCTCCAACAAGGCCACATGATCCTTGATCTGGGTGACCTGGTCAGTCACCTCGAGGGTGTGTACCTCCTGGGCGTCTGCACGTCGGCGACTGAACCGGGGCCACCACAGCTGCTCCCTCAAAGATGGAGTTGAGGAAGAGCTAAATTTGAGGTTTTATTTAAGTTATGAACAAGCAGATATAACTTGCTTGATCTTGTGCCTGTTGGTCTCAGACATGCAAAAACATAGACAAGAGGAGCATGACTTTAAAGATACAAAATGTCCAGAAGCTGGGGAGAGTGGCTGAGGCTGGGGCCAGAGGTCAAGGCAGGAGGTGTGGATTTATTTGCATCAATATGGAAACTTTGAGAGAAGGTAGAGTCAGAGGAAGGCTCCAAGCGGGAAGGTAGAAGAAAGAAGAGCCTCCAATAATGCCCTCCATTGGAAACCTTCCCCGGGAGCCCGCCAGCCTCTCACCATGGTGTGGCCTGGCCTCCCGCCTCCCGCCTCTCTGCCCAGTCAGACACTTGCCTAAGGAGTGCGGCGGGAACATGGCAGCCTTGATGGCCACCCCGCCGGCGCGGTGACCACTCCACTGCCACAGGGAAACCGGAGAAGGTGAAGAGAAGTAGAAATGCTTTCTCTGAAAGAAAATCTACAGCCTGTTCTTGACAGAAAGCTCGTGGGCCTTACAGCAAAAGGAAACGACAGAGAACAGAGCTCGAAATTCAAAAGCAAATCCAAACAGCAACCAAAAATGACATCAATCAAGAAACCCCAAAGGTTGTTGTTTTGTTTGGCTTTGTTTTTGTTTTTGTTTTGTTTTTTTCCAAAAACTCCTCAAAATTATCAAACAAAAGACAGGGTTGTTCAAAGAAGTCTGTGGAAGATACTTGGATGCCAAAGGCTGCTTAGCTCCTCCTCTTTTGTCCTTCCTCCTTCCTCTTTATGCTCCTGTCATTATTTTCTCTCCCGTCCCCTCATTTTCACCACTTATGTCCTCACTCCTCTCCTTCCCCTTCCCCTGCACCCACAGACTGCTCCCACCCTCCAGTCTCTAAGTCTCATATTTTTTAAATTAAAAAATATGTGGGGCACCTGGGTGGCCCAGTGGTTGAGCGTCTGCCTTTGGCTCAGTTTGTGATCCTGGGGTCCTGGGATCGAGTCCCACGTCGGGCTCCCTGCATGGAGCTTGCTTCTCCCTCTGCCTGTGTCTCTACCTCTCTCTGTGTGTCTTTCATGAATAAATAAAAATCTTGATTTTAAAAATATTTAGTTTAACTTAAAACTATAGAGGTGTATCGTAGGACACTTGGATAGTATGGCTAAATGGAGTGGAAATGCCTGCAGGTCATTTTGAGCATCATCTATGATGTGAATTTTAAAATTGCCACAAGCAAGATTTTATTCACCATGATGCTTTCTTTTGTTTTCTCTTCTCATTTTCTTCATTCTCGCTTTCAGTTTCAACAAAGGATTTCTCAGTGTCTTAAGAATTTCAGATCTTGAGGGGTTGATCTTGCCTCATGACAGCAAGTTCGGTATTTTTGCCACCTGACTGAAACACTTCCAGAAGGATCTTGATAACCAGCTCGATAGTCAGATTGTTCATTTCTTCCTTCTTTTTTTCAAGATTTATTTATTCATTTGAGAGAGAGAGAGAGAGCTAGTGGAGGGAGGGGCAGAGAGGGAGAGAGACAATCTTGAGCAGACTCCTTACTGAGCGTGGAGCCCCATGCAGGGCTCGATCCCAGAGCCCCGCGGTCATGACCCAAGCAGAAGCAAGAGTTGAGCACTCCACCAATGGAGGTACCTAGGCACCCCCAGATTACCCATTTCCATGGCTTAGTCAGTATGGTGTTTCTTCAGAAACTCACACAGTGGCTTGGCACCCTAGCCTATGTCTTTGGCCTTTCAGGAGTGATTTGTTCTTGAGAGGCCTGTCTCCCAAGGCAGGGTGGGAGGGTGGGGGGCGGGGGGTGGTGGAGGGAAGGTAGAGCAGGTGAGAGGCAACCCCACAAGAAGGAGCTAAAGCTCAGACTCCAGTAGCCCAGGAGGTCCATGGGAACAAGACTCCCGACCTGGTCCTGGCAGCCAACATGGAGAAGGTTTCTCTTCTCTTGGAACTCTATAGCAGATTCCAACAAAGGGAAAATAAAATATTTTCTGGGCGAATATAAATATTAATAAAAACTATTGTAGAATTCCACATTGTAGGATGCTATAAAAGGGGAATACTTCATTTCATCTCTCTTATAAATAAGGATTGTTAGTGCAAGGAATGTTCTTTGGAAAGCTTTTCTTTTTTAAAATTTAAGTTTATAGAATATGGAAATGACCAAAAGTATTACCATAAAACTTGATTATGGATATTTTGTAGGAAATAATTCAAAATGTCAAAAGAATTTTTAGCACAGAGTTTTCAGCATAGCAGAAACGTGTTACAGAAATGTGTAAAAATGAAGCCGTAGATCCATAAATCGTGGTGTATACATACAACGAAATCTTGTGCAGCTACTCAAAAAACTTCTTTCCAAGTTTTCAGTGATATATGGAGGTGCCTAAATAGAAGAGGAACACAGCATACCTTAAGAGCAAGGTAAAAAAAAAAAATGTGTTCAATCTACATGTATTGATACGGAGCCATTTTCAAGACAGATGATGTAGCAGGTAGGATTTTTCATTGTCACAAGCTTTGTTTTACAAAAATACAGTTGACCCTTGAACAGCACAGGTTTGACTTGCATTGGTCCACTTAAATGCACATTTTTAAAATAAATGCAGTAAATGCACTTTCTTTCTTATGCCTTTCTTAATTGCATTTTCTTTTCTCTAGCTTATTTTATTATAAAATACAATATCTAATACATATACAAAACCCATGTTAATTGACTATGTTATCTGTAAGGCTTCTGGTGGACAACAGGCTAGTTTGTAAAGTTTTGGGGGAGTCAAAAGTTACGTGTCCCTACCCCCGGCATTGTTCGATGGGGAACTATATAATTTTACTTGCTGTAATATTTAATTTAATTGCTGTAATATCTGACTCTTATTTCCCATTATCCCTAATGGAAGAAGACATAATTTAGTCATTTCTGAGTAGACCGTCAGACACAGTGATTTCTCAGCCAAGCAAATTAAGGTTTTGGATGCTGGGATTTTGCCACGGTTGACCCTGAAAACCCAGATGCCTTCACCACTGCATTACTTTATGCAACTCAGCTCTTGTGTCCAGACCTCACTGTGTGTCCCACGGATTGGTAGACAAGTTACATGCCTGCCTGCTTTCTGGGCAATGTTAGAAATGTGATTTGTTGGCTTGTTTTACTTTCCAGCTTCTCTGGTATGTAATGGAACTCATACAGGGTTGGAACTGTTTGGTAGTGGAACCAATAGTGGCTACAGCCTTATCCCCGTGAGGGTGACTGGATCAGTCTACAGTTTGAGGTTGCTAACCGTGTACCAGCCCCACGGTACCTAATAGTTGATTTTAGCAATGCAATTTGATTATTCAACTGGATTATTCAATTTGATTGAAAGACAATGACTTTAGTGGTTAAGTTTCCCTTTCCAATTATGCCAGATTTACCCTCTGGAATTGCAGATATCTCTCAGAATGATAACATTTGTCAAATAAGACAGTGCAGTCATTTAGCAATCACTCAGGGTATCCACTGAGCACCACGTGCAAGATAATCAAGTAGAAATTGATCGTGCCTGGTATTTGCACAGTAGTTAGTGTAGAACACACTTAAGGCTTTTCTTGATTCCAAAAATAGGTTTGGGGAGTGAACTAGGAAGAGATCCCCGTTTCATAGATGATGAAACAGAGGGTCAGAGTTGAACCATCTGCCCTGAGTCAAACCAGTACTAAATGGTGAAGTTGGGGCCAGGACTCAGTCAATTATAGTTGAGTCCTGTATCCAGTATTCCACACGGGCCCATTTTCCATTGATTCCATAAAGAGGCTTTGGTAGGGAAGCTGGAGAAAACCTGAGGGATGGAGAGGAGACACCTTTGGGATGGGAAGGACATAGGGGGCCACTTTTTAAAAGGAGAGGCTGGCAGAGCTGAGGATCCTTCTTCCATCTTCCCAACATGCGCCAGGGCCAGCCCTCCATGAGTAGGTACATTTCCAGCTCAGATTCTGTACCTACTTCTGTCCCCCCACACCTCCCCTTTTTTTTTCTATGTCTCTGGCCACAAGATTCCCTGACAATTAGAAAAAAGTTACAAGTATGAGATCCCATGAGATCCCATTTGTCAAGGAACTCTATAAAAATCCATGATACGTTAGCCTTGACAAAGGAGCTTTCCTTCATTTTCAGAAGACCTCTGTGAACCTCTACCTCTGATCTGCAAGCACAGCATTCTCTTGAAGGCCAGGGACTTCTTTGGTGTGTGTTGAAAGGATGGCAAAGACTGGAAAAATGAGCCCACTGGAAAAAAAAAAATCACAACCGAAAGGTCAGAGCCTCCCTGCTAATATTCCGTATTCTCAACGTTCGTCGTGGTGTTTGGGAATATAACTCGCTAAGGCTTGATTCGAAGATTTTCTGAAATCACAGGTGAGGAGGGGGTGGGAGGAAGGAGGCGATGAGAACAAGGCTGTCCAGGCAACACCGTATGAGCCAAAAGAGAAGAGCAACGCACCTCTTCTGCCTCGTTTTCTATACAGCCCGACACCCAGCGTCAGCAAAGGACAAGGACAAAGGGATGAAAACAGAAAACATTCCACGTCCTTTGCGGGAGAAAAGAGTGAAGGCAAACATTCTGCTGAATAATTTTGACGATATTCAGTCAGCCTAAAGAAAGAGGAGCCGCCTGTGTAGCCAATCATGAGGCCCCTGTTGGCCGAACGTGCTCGGCAGAGGGGGGTCTCCCCGTGGGTCTCTCTTGGGAATGTGTGTTCACGTCGGTGGTTGCTAAGCCTCATCAGGGCATTGTGAGAGCTAAGCCAGAGTTGTGGACTTGTGTGTGGACTCATTCGCACTGGGCTTTGTTCTAAAAATGCTTTGAGGTGGTGTCCAGTAGCTCCTGGTGCTCGCACGTCGGTCGTACCAGGCAGTTCTCAAAAGCACAAGTGATCCTTCCCAAGGATGCCTGTGGGACGAGAGGAGTACAGGTGCATTACTAGGACTAGGAGAATAAGCCAGGATAACAGTAGGTCTGCTGCCATCTCAGCAAACAGATGAAGGTAGGACAGTTTTCATTAGAAATGGTCAACAGCGTACAGGCTCCGCAGGATCACGAAGGCCGCGGAGGCCCACAGACTCGACCGCTGTGCTCCTGGCCCACCCCGGAGGAGCGCTCTTGTGATCCTCAGCCTCGGACAACTCTGGCCTAAACCAAGGCCTCTTGTGCCAGAAAGACTATAGGAGAGAGGCGCAGAGATGGGTCACTAGAGCCTCAACGAGGTGTTTATGTCATTACCGATAATCTCGTTCAATCTAACTTTGATCTCAAACCAATTTGGGTTTTCTTCAAGGTTCGAGAACAAAGCATTTATTATGGTAGAGCTGCAAAATGGCTAAAAGTGAAGTCTCTGTGCTTAGAGAGCCGGGTTTGAGGACTACTGCAGCCACTTCCTAACTAGTCCTATAGCTGGTGCTAGGGGTTTGGATCCCAGTGCTGTAGCTTCCACATTTGAAAATGGGGTAATAACAATACCGACCTCATCGCCTTGTTGTACCAGATGAAATAACACTTAATGAGATGCCCAAGTTCAACGTGCAAGCTCGTGGATGCTGGCTGTTACTACTCCATGCCCGGTACTGCCTTAGGCGGCGCAGAGGCCAAGACGTCTTAGTCCGTTCGGGTTGCTGAAACGAAGGCAATCAACTGGGTGGGGGGAGTGATAAACCAGAGAAATTTATTTCTCAGGGTTCTGGGGGCTGGGACCTCTGAGATCACAGGGCTGGGAGATTTGGTGTCTGGTGAGAAGGTGCCTCCTGAGTCCTAGGCTGTGTGTCCTCACAGGGCAGAAGGAGTAAGGGACAGACACCTGGGAGGCTCAGTCGGTGACATGTCTGCCTTCGGCTCAGGTCATGATCCCTGGGTCCTGGGATCGAGCCCCACGTCAGGCTCCCTGCTTACTGGAGAGCCTGCTTCTCCCTCTGCCTCTGCTTGTGCACTCTCGCTCTCTTTTTCTCTCTCTGACAAATAAATAAATGAATAAAATCTTAAAAAAAAAAAAAGGAGTGAGGGAGCTCCCTGAGGTCTCTCTTACAAGGGGACCTAATCCCATTTATGAGGGCTCCATGCTCATGCCTTAACCATCTCCCAGAGGCCCCACTTCTGACTGCTATCACGTTAGGGATTAGGATTTAACATAGGAATGTGTGCTGGGGGGATGCAAACCGTTAGTCTCTATCTAGCACGAGATGCTTCAGTAGTCTGCCCTCCGGGAGCTTGTATTAGTCTGGGTTCCCCAGAGAAACAGAACAAATAGGATATGGAGACACGGATTTATTATTTTTTAGAACTTCCCATCAAGTGTTATTCCTTAGAAACCAATACACGTTTTGCAGTCTGGGGTAAATGTCTCTCGTTTTGGTCACATGCATTAAGGGCATCAATCACACAGTTTAATGATTCGGTAATTACACGAAACCACAGAACTGTGACTCTACCCCAGTCACATGGACGTGGCCTTTCTGGCTGAGCACAATTTTTTTTTTTTTTTTTTTTTTTTTTTTTTTTTTAAGGAACTGGATGCCCACACCAAGACTATGCCAAGGAAATCTGTTAAGGAGTAAAGCTCTGAAGTGGTGACTCATTAGAGTACCTAGATATAGACTAGATTTAGATTTAGAGAGATTTTCTGTAAGAAATTGGTATAGATATAAAGAGGTTTACTCTAGATATAGAGAGATTTACTATAAAAAAAAAAATCTGAGAAGGAAGCTGAGCGGTACAAGGCCTGTTAGTCATCGGCCAGCCGGAGACCCAAGTGATCCACTGGGGTAACTTCCAGTCTGAAGCCGCGGCACAAGGCAGGAGAAGGCCAGGGCCCAGCTCCAAGACAGGAGCCCAGGACACCAGGCCACGTCTCACCTACTTGGCTGCTCGTCCAGGGACTGCTGCGTTCACCCCACTCTCCTCCTAACCTTCTCCCTGGCCCCCTTGCTTTGATTTTTGCATCTCAACTGTCAGTTCTCCCTACAGCCACCAACAGGGAGGCCTAAATCTAGAAGTCAGCTCATGGTGCCATGAGCTTTTTCCATCGTATTTGGTAGAAAACTCAAAGCCCTAACACCATAGTGCCCCATATAAGAAGACCCCCCCCCCCCGTTACCTTTCCCACCTAATTTCCTGTGACTTCCCTTCGCCACCACTGGTTTCAGCTACACAGAGGAGACCTTTCGTGAGTCTGACTCCAGGGTATTCGTTTCCACCCAGAACGCTTCTCCGAGTTGTCATGCGGCGCTGTGTCTTCCCGCATCCAGGCCTCTGCTCCACGTCAGGCACCAGCACGACATTTCTGTCGTCAATGTATCCTGCTTTCTTTTGTTGGTTGGTTAGTTTTGTTGTTGGTCTGCACGTATCCGGAAACCTTCCTGGACGGGATGATGCTCGAGTTGGATGCTGATGGATGAGAGAGCAGCTGAGAAAGAGGGAGAAGGGAATCCCGGGCCAAGGGCCCCGCAGGTGCAAAGGCTCAGCATCAAGGACGAGGATGCCATCCTGGAGGAATGCACGGTTCCCCGGGGGGGGGTAGAGGGTGTGGTGTGGGTGAGTGGGAGGAGGGAGGCGAGAGAGGACGGGGGCAGGCAGCGGAGGCCCGAGTGGGGGTACCTAGCGGCCCTGCTGCTCGTGCCCCCACCTGCCAGCACCCCTCCTCCGACCTCCATCCAGGGGTTCCACGTCCTGCAGTGGCATTTCCCAGCCTTTTCTTCCTATTGTCACCAAATGTTATGCTGCGTGTTAACTAACTGGAATGCAAGTAGAAACTGCAGAGAAAAGAATATGAACAGGACTA